GCTTCTCGGCGCAGAAAGCTCAGGGGTTTTAACTCTTTTCCCTGTGCTTCATCTCTGGTCGGCTGCTCGTGTCTCATTGCCTGGCCAGTCTTTTCCTACCCCATCCTCCTGCCAGTTACTTCTTTCTCACCTGCCTGCCAAAGTCTGTTCCTGATTCCTGGAACTTTCAGCTTCCTATGGTATTTAATTTTTGCAGTCTTTTCCTCTTTGGTATGTTCAAAGACACTGTTATGACTTTTCAGGTATCAGTGCCTTTCAAGTCCTGAATGAGGTAGCACGTAAATCTGGAGAATTCTAGGTTTTCTAATGCTCTGATTATGTCATGACTGACTGGTGGCTAATCCTGCAAAAAGGAAGGATTTTCACTTTCTTTGAATGAAGAGGCCAAATGGAGGCAGTTTCTTTTACACTAAAATGTGCAAAACTGTTCTGGTTTGTTTTCATTTTATGAAAAGCATATGAAAACTACGAAAAGCGCTGTACAAGGTAGTAATAACTTTAGGTTGGCTCTGGTTTGTAAAGCAGAGCTCAAAAGAGTACCACTAGTGTAAACAGCTCTCCCATTCCCTCTTTTCTTTGTAATACTTCACCAAGGTGATGTCTGGGGTAAGGGCCATTTCTCGGCACAATGATTCTTCTAAACTTTACTTGGTTTGGTGAGTTTTCAGGAATATGCTTTTATTGCCTAATCCTGAAATTGCTAGTTGGAGGAGCTTGTCATCTGTCTCTTGTCACATGTTTTTTTAAATTTAGCATTCCAACTTTTGTAGTCCTCCTTGCTCATTTCATAAACCTTAACTGCTTCTCAAGTAAAAGACTGCCTTGGATGACCAGGGCAGGAGAAAGAGCCTCTCTGGCTTCGTGTCCTGTTCATTTCTCCAGCCTTGCGTAACCAAGAAATTTCTCTGGGGGAAAGGTTAGCTTGAATCCCTGCAGTCCCAGCAAATTCACATGGTTCTTCTAACCTAAGGATCATAAATGTACTAGATGAGAAGTCCTGGTAAGCAAGTCTACTAGAATTCTTCTTCATTGTCTCTCAAATAAAGAATGGCAACTGTTCAGCTGATGGCAGCATACCTTGTTTAAGTTCCTATGTTTAAGGATGGCATAGATGTCTGCCAAGAAGGGTAACTGCCAACAGAAAAAGATTACCTCTCTTGGGAGGGGGTAAGAAGGGGAGGGGGTAAAATGGTAAGAAAGTGGGCTGGTTTGTTTTCCTGTAGCACTTGTGAAATTGAAACTAGTCATGAGAAACAAAGCTTGAAATGCCATCTCTTAGTGAAAGACTTTGATTTTTGAAGTGATTCCCATTTTAAGGAATGGTTTCAGAAAGCAAAGCCTCAGGGTTAAAAGAAGCTCTTTTGTGCCTCTTTTTACAAATGCTCCAAGCATCTAAATCTACTCAACAAGCATGCCGTTTTGCAAGTATCCTATTTTCTTTGCACAGAATGTCAAAAGCACTGCGGGAAGTGCCATCTATGGAATATAATTGATATGGATGCTCTTCTGAGACTGTTTTTGTTGTTCTGTTTCAAGATAAAGGCAATCGAGTATTTATAGGAAAAATAAATACATATGCCTTTTGTGGTATGTTGTAGCTGAAAATTAAATATTTTTCTACTCAAATTCTGGCATATTTCCTGGAATCACCAAGCTTTCAGTAACGTTTTTAGTTAATATTCTGCAGCCTACTGTTGTATTCACCGCAGCTGCCATGAGCTCAGAGAGTTTGTCTTTATTTAACCTTAGAGAGGAATCCCAGGGTTGCTCTGTAGTTGGCAGAGCTGTTGGGAAGGATTTGCTCCAGACCGCAGTCGAGAGTTTGTGGGCAGGGTCCCACTCTGAATCGTGCCGGCTACAGCCTCGCTCCATTGGTGAAAATGGAAATGCAGCAAAACAAGGCTGCATAAAGTAAAGTTAGCCTTTATCAAGCTCTGACTGATATTTTCTTTCATGATCCATCCTTTTCCTTCTTTGGCTAATACCTTGATGAATCCTGTTGTTAAAGTCCTGCATCCCACTGCTTCTCATGATGTTTGGAAGTTGAGGGCACTGATTAGGACATTGCTTTTCTACCTGAAAAATACATGTATCTGTGTAGAGGGGGTGAAAAAAAAACAAACCTTTAAAAGTCCTGATGAGAATAAACATCCTGCATCACCTTTGCTCTTTTGAGACTTAAAATTGCGTTGGGGTTGCAGAGGGGAAGATGCTTCGGCTAAAAGTCAAAGCTTTTAGAGACCCTGCTCCTGATTCTCTGCTCCATTACACATTTTTCACACCGATGTAGCTCCATGGGGCTCCTTTGTCTCTTTCTTGCCAGCTGTTAACAAGGAAAATGTAGATGGCCTGTGGCATTAGGACCGCCTAACAGACAGTAGCAAACCATTCCGTTTGATTGGTCATTTTATAGTTACTTGTTTGGAATAATTTCGTTGATGAGGTTGACTTTTACCCAGCTAACTATTAGCCGTTACAGTTTTAAGACAGTAATTACCCCCAGAAGTTAGTATTCGCAATGTCAGCCGTTAGTAGTAGTATCGGTCGTAACCTTACAGTTAGTAATATTTATGCCAGGAAATAAACGCTTGTCTCTATTTGTCAGTAAATGATGGCATTTAAGTGACATGAAACAGTATGTGTTGATTCAAGTCTCTAGAACTACCTCAATGTTTGTTTTCCTCCAGGTTGAGCGGTGAGGTAAAGCTGAACTTGATGAAGTAGATATTCCAGTGCTAGATTTATTATTTGAGTGTGCAAAAATTCTTGGAAATGTGTATCTTATTAAACTGAACCTGATTTCAGTTGTACTTTTTCTGAACAGTGGAAGGAATTTTCCATTGTTGGAGAAATCTGGAGGCCTCCCCTCATGAGAAGAGCCCTGAAAATGAAGAAGCGGGATGCTCGTCAGAGATCAGAAGTATAATCAGCCTGAATTGCCGGGCAGAGCTGTGAGGGTTGATTTGTATCCAATATCTGCAGAATAAACTGCAGTGCTCGGTTTGCAAACACTATTGTGAACCAAACCCTGCAGGGTTTGCCAAGCTCTGGTTACTATTATTGCTCCTAGTAAGGCTTATTATCCTGTCACAGAAGATGTAAGAAAATCCATCTGTCCACTTTAAACATGATAAGCCTTTGTCACCTACAATGCAATTAAAGTTAAAAATAGAAGAGCGCTGATGATAAGATTGTGACTTGCAGGCAATGAGCCATTGTCCAAGTACCGGAGACTTATCTGGAGGGCCAGTCAGCCTACACGGTTTGCTGTCAGTTTGCTGATTGCCATTTCTCTCCGAGTTTGATGAAATATTCATGTCTTTACTCTGCTCTCTGCAAGCACTATTGATTTCTTGTATAAACGCGGCTATATTTAGTCTAGACAAATGGAATGTGGATTGCTGCTGAATAAATGGGATGAAAGGCTGGGGGGCTGCCTGTCCGTCTCTCTTGGTCTGTGGCAATTATTTGTAATCAAGAGTAGTTTTTGTAAGTTAAAGGTGATTTTTTATAATTTAGTGATTAGTCTCAGAACAAAAGTAAGCACTTGGACACAATCATTCTGTTGAGATAGCGGGTTAAGAAGGCAAATTATGCTCTGAAATTTACAATCACAGTTACTAGGATTTAAAAAAAAAAAAAAAAGCCCCAGAAAATTGTACATTTCCACAATTTTGAGAAGAAAAGAATACCATCAGTAGAAGAGATTTGGTGCCTCATCTCTTCTTTTTACAAAACTTTTTACTAATAGATTTAGTTGTACAGTTAGAATTCAGTTCTCTACATATGCTGCAGTTTCAGCTTTTCATACTTCAATTTTACTGCTCCTGCTTGCTAGAATATTTCTGTTTCATTTTGGTTTTCTCCTTGAAAACAAATACAGCTGTAGCAGAGCAAAAGGAGAAGATATGCTTAAAATCTTTTTCCCTAGTCACTTCCGACAGCATGTTTATTTTCAGTTAATAATCTCATTTTCCTGTGAAGACAGTGGAGCAGTAGGAACAGGAGTGAATGTGTTTGTGTTCCACTGTCCTCTCGTGGATGGAATCAGAACTGCTGAGCTTTAACAAAGACCCTCAGCTGCTTTTTTTTTTCTGTTGTAGAAATGTTGCTTGTTAGGTTTTTGTTCTTCTGAAATAAAGTTAGACTCTGTCTCTTCACTTAATGTGAAAACCTGAGCTTTACAAATCTTGTAGTGAAAATCATCAAATCTCTCTCTTCTGCTACTTTTTAGTCCCTTTCATTTCTATAAGAATATAGAAAAACACAGGATTTTTCATTAAGTACTTTAATGCTGAATTAACAATATATACCATTGCTACAGCAAACGAATAATTCAAGAGGTTTTCGTTTTCTTACAAGCCATATATAGTGTGTTATGTCTAATCCACTCCAAGCATGGTGGTCACTTCTCAAAAAGCTATGTTAAAACTTCTCATTTTGTGTGTCAAATTATTTTCCTGTAATTTTGTATGTGTTATTCCTATGTGTTTGCTGGGTATATTTACATGCAGTAGCTGTGTAGCACTGGATAACTGTTCATGTGTAACACCATCCTCAGAAAATCTACACGCTAGCTTTGGAAAATCTTTTGCAATGCAGTGAGAACTGGAGGGCCTTCATCTTACGCTGAAGAACAGCCCTGAGTGTTTATAGTGAAGTATTAATAGTGCCCAGGAGATTCTCACTGAACGTTGCTCTGTTAGGCTGTGACATGGTTTCAGAACTGGATTGCTTGTTAGTCTATTTAGCAGAATATTAATCTGGGAATATTTTTGCAGAGAATGGAAAGCAAGTGATAAAATAATTTGTAAATTCTCCAGTTGCTAGTAGGAATTCCTGAAGTTTGCATACAGCATAGATTGCATTAATGTGTTGTTAGACCTGTACATTGAAACAGTCTTTGAATGAAATTGGTCTTTTCCCCAGTAGGAATGATCTCTATTCTCCTTCTCCAGTTATATTTAATATATTCACATTTTGTTGTTTTCTTCCCACAGTGGATGTAAAGTCAGAGGTTCCCGTGGGATTAGAGCCTATCTCGCCATTAGACTTGCGAACTGATCTCAGGATGATGGTTCCCATGGTGGACCCAATTATGCGTGAAAAGCAGCTACAGCAGGAACTACTTCTGATCCAGCAGCAGCAGCAAATTCAGAAACAACTGCTGATTGCAGAGTTTCAGAAACAGCATGAAAACCTGACCCGCCAGCATCAGGCCCAGCTCCAGGAGCACATAAAGGTAGCAACTTTTTTCATTTATCCCTCACTTTATCTGCAAACTGAGTATGCTTAGGCAGACATGAAAAGGGAACATGCTTGAAAGGTTCACTGTGACTGGGGGATGGTGTTTGAATGCTTATTTCTCTGTATTGGGTAATTAAAGCCTTTTCAAGCAAAACTGCTGGTACCTACCAGCAAGTTGCTCACAGCAGACCAAGGCAGTACTATGAGAATCATCAAGCTCATGAGGCCGCTGCATCCACAGAAAATCAAACTACCTCTTTTACAAGGCTGGATTTTCAGCCAGACTTCAATATGGCTATCTTTGCTGTATGTGCAGTTTTGAGTATATTAAAATACTGCTTTTTTTGGGCTACTGTTTTAATTTGTGCCCACAAATCAAACTGATAGGCTAGTGCATAATTTGCATTTGTAAAACAGAGGCAGGGCCTCAGTGTGTTGTGTTTTCACTCTTCTCTGAGCTGCCTCATATAGTGTAAAAATAAAATGATCTATGTGATTACATGCACTATGGTAGGATTGCTATAATGGATTTTGACCGGGAATTTATGATCTTGCCTTTCTTTTCGTTTTTTCCTTCTGGTCTACTTGCCATTATGCTACTGTGCTAAGCTTCCGCCCAATGGAGCTGACAACTGCAGCGGAGCACAGCAGCCAGGGTTGGGTGATGCGCTGGCAACAAACCCTGTGCCGTTTCCAGGCATTTTTTCCAAAAGAGAAAAAAATAAAACCAGAGCAGCAGGCTGTTACCTGATGTTAGAGTTCATTTTAGTGACAGCCAAGAATGCACTATCCTGCTTAAACGACTGGGGAAAGTCAGTTAAGAGATGAAAAGAAGTTGTAAGCACAAAAGCAAGCACCAATACTCAGTTATTCAAAGGGTTGTTTAGCCAGGGCTGACCTAGAAAACAGTGCAAACTGCACTTTCTCACGTATTTTTGTTCTGTGCAAGTTACAACAGGAACTCCTAGCCATTAAACAACAGCAAGAACTCCTTGAAAAAGAGCAGAAACTGGAGCAGCAGAGACAAGAGCAGGAGCTGGAGAGGCATCGCAGGGAACAGCAGCTTCCTCCCCTCCGAGGCAAAGAAAGAGGCCGAGAAAGTAAGAGCCCATGTACCATGAATCCAAATAAGAAATTAATCTGTTCCCCCTTGATTCTCCCAGCCGAAATGGATGATGAACAGGAACCTGAAGCAAGCCAATTACTGTGCGAAATACGCAACTGGAGAAGTCGAGGCTGTGCATGCAGAAAGGCAGGGCTGCACCCACAGAAACATATTGCTGGTTTGTGTGCAGGCTTCAAGGGCAGTAGGAAAGCATGTTTTGACAGACCTGTGTCTATGTGTCTCAAGAATCTGGCTCCTTTTATATGAAAGGAGGGAATATGAAAGCCTAAAGCTTCACTTGAGAACTTCTTTCTGAAGAGCTTATTTCCCAATACGAAAAGCACTACAAAACAGCAAAAAATCAAATTACTTGCAGGTTAACTAATTTGAGCATTGTTTCAAGATTGAAAATACAGCGAAATTTTAAGAATATCTTTGGCTGAGACATCTGAATACTTTTGCTAGTACTTTTTTGAACTGCCTTGTGTTTGCTGTTGATGCCATTTCATGAGGCCCAACCAAGAGTTATTTCTAGCTCATGTATAGCTTTAAGGCAAATGACAGATATCAAGGATACTGCGGGAATTTGGTGCTCACTAGAGGGAGACAGATACAAATAATTCTCCTTTGTGAGGTCAGTTTAAAAGTCAGGTTGAAGTACACTGTGAAGGTATTCATAATGAAACTGCACAAGCAGATATTGTTACTTGCCCTGCTAAATGACCACAAGAATTAACTGACAGAGACCGAAGCAGAAAAGAGCTTTACATTATGCTCCTGCTTGTTTTTTATTAGGTGGAAAAATGCATCAGTTCGACAGTTGTAGGTGTACCATATTGTAAGGTTTAAATATTAAGGTGTCCGTGGTGCTTCCAGTACTTTTGTGACCGAGGAATCCATGAAGGCATCACCAGCCTATTGACCCAGCAGTGGGAGGGTGGCAGAAACTGCAGGAATGAAAGATTCCTGTAAGTGGTGTGAAAAATCAGCCTCCGTATAAACAGTTGGGCTTTGTTAGTGCTCCCACCAAAGGAAGAGCAGCGATGTGAACTCAGTGGTTCCCTTCTCAGTGTGGCTTACTGGGTGGCTGTTCAGTATGTAGCAGCCAGTCAGGCAGCACTTGTGACCCTCTGGGCCCAGCCCCAGTGTTTGCTGCTGCTGCTGATCTATTTAATGACCAGATGAGGGAAGGAAGGTGCGGGGAGGGGAGTTAGGGGTCTGAAGCTGAGGGGTAGTAGAGGCATTTTATAGGAACTGGGTCGCAGGGGGACATGCTCACCAGCTAGCTGTGCGGTGTCAGGGTTGGGTAACCAGACACGTAGAGCATCAGTATGCCTTAGTGCTGCGACTTTCAAAGAAACGGTTTTCTTTCCTTTTTTGTCACTGTTTATGGAAAACTGAGAGAACTTTTTTTTTCTTTTTTGTGCTTTTTTTATGAAGAGTATGATGACTGTGAGTAAAGAAACATGTTCCATGCTGCAAGTAGGAGTTGTGGTTTAACCTGACATTGACATGACCTGCTTCTTGTACTGTATTAAGCTGGTCACCAAGAGAGGCCAAAAAGCACTGTGTCTTCCTGGCATTTTGGTCTTTCTGTTGGTTTTGTGTCGTAAGAGTAGAGTTGTCAACTAAGACTCATGTCTTAGACTGTGGTCTGTCTTCCAGACATCACAGGTACAGACTGTTAAGTGGCTTGAATAAAAAGGCTCACTGCTGGCTCTTTCTGTGGTGTTCTGCTCATAGCCAAGTCAGTGTTCAGAGGGCAGTTCTGCTGTGCAATTGCTATTACGTTACTGAAAGAAAAAACATTCTTTACCGCAAACTCAAAGTGACCTTTTGTTGCTATCTTTTTAGTTCTATCCTTGGTTTTTTATTTGGGAATTTTTAGGAAATAATTTAAATTCCATAGATACATCTGGCCTGGGATAAATGGCCTCACGTACTGTTGAAATATTCCTTATGACTTCACTGGATTTCTGGGTTATGGCCAACTTCACTCTTCTACAGACAAATATTTAATCCAAATGTTATCTCATTTTGACTGATTTCCACCAGTATTTTTTATAGTTTACAACACTTCCAGCAGAAAGACACAGGCTCTTTTTTCTGTTTTGGTTTTTGTTTGCTTTAAAAATGCCATTTTTTTGAGTAAAGATAAGATATGCTTAATTCTGTGTGTCTTAGGGGCAGTGGCCAGTACAGAAGTGAAACAGAAACTTCAAGAGTTCCTGTTGAGTAAATCGGCAACAAAAGACTCTCCAGCAAATGGGAAGAACCATTCCATGAGCCGTCACCCCAAGCTCTGGTACACGTATGTTCACGATTAAGCTGTTTCCTTGCCTCGTCATGATATCTGTTAAAACTTGCCAGAATGCTTCTCCAGCAGTGGTATTAAGAGTCTACCTCTGGAACAGGACAGAAGTTCAGCCAAGAAGTTGGCGAAAGCCAAAAGTGTAATATGTCGTCTGGTTGAACTGAAGAGTTCTTGGTGTTGAGTGATGAGATGAGAGCTATGCAGAACAAGATGCTGTCAGAAATTTGTACAGACTTTTTATTTCAGCTGCTTCATCTGTTGATGCTGTCACAAATTTTACAGCTATACCTGTCATTTTTCCAAATCTCTTCAATGTTTGCAGTTAGCACAACATTGTGTTTGATTTACCTGGATATTGAATGATTCATAAAACTCGTTTCTTCTTGAAGAGATGATTCTTTCCAGTGGAGTTACTTGAATGGTGTAACTCAAAAGGATTTTGAGAAGGATGGTGGTTATTTAGCTTTTCTTACTCAAATTCTAGATTTTAGTATCCAAAGCTGCATATTCGTGTGATGCCTTGGTCGTGATAGGAATCTGGTTAGACCATTGAAACAAGTGATTTTGCTGAGTCCTGTGATGGGCTTATTAACATTTTAAGAGTTTACAGGTCTTATCCCCCCCCTTTTTTTTTGTACTAATTAATTCCGTTTTAACTTCCCTGTAACAACAGACACATAAGTCAATCCAGCAAAATGAACTCTGACTGCATTTCTGAAAGACTTCAATGTTATGCCCAAACTGACCTTCAATAGGACAAACAGAAATGAGTATGGTACACTAGATTTCCATCTTGTACTTGCTCTTTAAAAAAAAATAAATTACTGAAGGCCTGCCCTTGGAGTTTCCATTCTGAGGTAATCAGAGCATTGTGCTAACATGATTTAATATATAGTTACATTGTTTCTGGTGGAGATACAGTACTTAATTTTTTTTTTTCAAATAACATGTTAAATTCTCTCGAGTGTTTAAGATTTCTGGACTAATAATCCCAGTTTAGTTCTGAGTCTTCCGATGGTTGAGAATGAGAAGCTCTCCTTCTGCTAGGGAAAGTCATACTTCCTCTCATGGTAGTGCCCCTTCTGACAGAGACGTATTATTGATTAACCACACTACACTGGAAAGATGGGGAGACACTCTGTAAAAGGCCAAGTAAAATTACGTTTCAATAAACACAAAGTTTGAAAGTTTCCCTCCTTTCCCTCTCTTTCCCCCTAAATAGAAAAATCAACCAACCAAACAAAAAAAACCCCACAAACCCTGTCTTTGGGCCAAATGATGCAATTTCTTTGCAATTTGCAGTTTCCGTGTTCAGAAAGATCTGCCCACACTAGTTCTTTCATCCAGCAGTTGTCAGAAAGCACCCTTCAGCTTGGATCTTCTCTGCTGGTGTGAGTGCTATGTGCTGCAGAGTGGTGTGCTCACAAAGCTTACAAACTGAACTTAAATGCAACTCAGTATTTCTGGTTAGTTTTATGCAAGCCCCCCCTGCCCTGAAAATCCCCCACATTTTGATAGAAGAGGCTGGATCAATGTACATCTCTTTGTACATGATAAACAAGAATTAAATGGCTTTTGCTGTGCCTCAGCTGGTTCATATTAAAATGCAACAATCTAAAATGGTCAGTTCCCCAGACTGGTGACAGATCCTGTCTGTAGGTCAACATGACTCTTATCCTATGTGACTTTTATAATGAGTGCAAAAAGTGCGTTCTTGGGAATCCCAAGGACTTCCATAACTTACTGGAAAAGTGAAATTGGTTACATGAGCCTGTGGTTTGTGCACACTTAGGCGAACAAGAACATAAACACAGCTGAGACATGTGTACAACATGTGTCGGTAGTTACTGCTGGTCACCTCAGTGACTGCTAATTTGTGACCTCTCCGTGTCTGCTGCAGGGCTGCCCACCATACCTCACTGGATCAAAGCTCTCCACCCCTGAGCGGGGCCTCGCCACCCTACAAATACACTTTACCAGGAGCGCAGGATGCCAAGGATGACTTTCCACTTCGTAAAACGGGTGAGTTAGCATAGTTTATTTGAGCCCCTTGCCCAGCAATTCTCTCACCCTTTATTTTAACCCAGCTGTCCATCGGCAAGGCATGTATCATAATCCACAAAGCCTGTTCGGGATGGTACTATGGGTAAGTTCAAAGATCCTGACTACATCTTTCTGAGGTCGGACTGACCACATGGTACCAAGAGACGGTGTTTCCCCATGCTAACAGCGAGTGCAAGCTTCAGTCTTGATAAATTTAGTTTCTAAACAGACTGTGATTTCATGGATCTTTTATGGCATGATTTTCTTTGTCTCAGTATTACTTCTGGGTTTAATAGGTCGCTCTCTCTTGCATGGTAGATACAGTATCTGTCTTCAGATGGTATGCTGCCTTTAGACAAAGTTTTTCAGGACAAGTTGAAGGCAATTAATGGAAAGAAGAGGAATTGGATTAATGTTATATTTTGTGTCATTGGTTGTCAAAGTTTGTATGCATATGTGCACATGCATGCATACATATGCATACATTTGTGTATGCTTTTTACGCATATGAATGTGTAATATTCTACAAGAAAATGTTCGTTTGAACATTTCAGAATGTTTTATAGAGACTTTAGCAACTACACCTTTTGTCTTGACAGCAGGTGAACTGTAGACTTGACTTTTTCTGCACCATAAGGAAAGCTGGAAGCATGGTGGTGGAGTCCATGTGGCTGTTGCCTCAGGTCCTTGGTGCAGTGACCGGTATCCAGGAATGCAGGGAGACACTAAGAGGAAAGGGGGAAAAAAAAGAAAAGAAAACATTAGATTGCTTATTGCATGAGTCTGCTGTTGAGTGATATAGTTACATTCAGAGAGAAAGTTTGACCCCCTACTGTGCTAAGAGCCTTTGAATGTGATTTAGCCACTGGGAGACTGAAAACTAACTGCAAAACTGGTACTGACTTGAAAAGAAGTGGCATTTGGAACCAGCCTACATTCAGAAAGAAAATCCAGTCTGTATCTAATACTTTGAGGCAGACTCTCTAAGCTCATATTATATCCCCAAATATTTTAAAAGGAATGAAAGCATGAAAAGCAAAATGCTAATTTATTCTAGCTGAATTACTCTTTGTACAATATGGTGGCAGTAGAACAAGATTCTATAAAATCTTGTTCAGGCTATTCAGTCACAATAAGCCCTTATGTGGTTCCCTGCTTAATGCCACTGTACAGCATACATTTTCTGTGCCAACAGAATATATGTTTTCATTTTTTAAACAAAAGGATACACTCTACATCTTCTAAATGCTATGAATTCATCTACATGTTTTTGAAATGCAAGTTTTAATTTTTCTTCCGTGTTTATGTATCTTAAATGTTATGATTGATATTTATGATGTGTCAGACTGTTGATCTGTAAAACAAAACATTTTTAAACATTGTAACAGTAAAGTTCTCGTGCAGCTGCTAATACTTTTTTATCTCTGTGGGGGTTTCAAAATATTCCTTAATTCAATTCCCATTGTCTGCATAAGAGGACTGTAATACAATTAAATCCAGATGTTTTCTATATGTTATTCCAAATATTTGGGCATGCAATGCATCATTTCCAAAATTGCACAAAGGACATGATGGCTCTCTGAAAAGATATCTACAGAATAAATAGACAAATACTAATATAATCATCAGCATAACCATTTCTGTGACATTTACATAGTGGTTCTGATAAACAAATAAAAATTACGTGTACGGCACGTTGTATGTTAGGAAGAGAGTATATGTGATAGCTCTCCATGTTCATGAAAACTGCAACTGTTAAACATCCTGTTTACACGTCCAGCCTCTCTGTATACTAGAGTTGTTTACTTCCAGCCTTCAGCAACATCCCCCCAAAGGTTCTAATGATTGTTCATCAGGTTGAGGGTAAAAGCAACAGGAACCAGATCGACACAAGTCAAATGACCCTAAACTGATCTGGGTGGTTTTAGGGCCATCCTCCAGGCAGAGGGGACATCATGGAGCCTATGTCACCCTCAAGGGACCTTACTAGACAAAGATGTCCCCATGAACACTCATGTATATGGACAGGCCATAAGCCTGCGGAAATCTGACCTTTGCCATGAGGGGTGAACCTCTTTTCCTTTCCTTTAGGCTATGAACGCTTATTGCCACTGGCTCCTGGTAAACCCTCTGTGGTGCTGAACCTGCATGAAGTCAGCAATTCATAGGGAAGCAGACCTCACATTCCTTTCAGACTTAAGAAAGAAATACCTGTTGTGGGTTTCAACCACAGCTTTGTTTGCTTCTCCATTTTATTTTCCATATTCATAATATGAAATATGGAGGTATCTGTCTCTTCTCTAACCTCAATGTAATGCTCTTGGAAGTTAATTGTGAGTGAATTAGTTACTCTAAGATCAGATTTAATGGGCAGCAAAGCTGAATGATTCTCTCCTGACATCCTAATGTGTTTTTCAGTGCTAAGGGAACACCGACTGTCACACAGGCACTGTAAATCATGAGTCTTGCTTGCTCACTTTCTTCTTCAGTAATCTATTTAACCTTTGCTTAATTAGTCCTGAATTGGCATCTCCTTATTAATCTTTTAAAAATTACTTCAGAGAGACTATGGTAAAGAGGAAAATACTCTCTGCAACTTTTACTTCGA